GTTACCTTCTGGAGTCTGAGTATGTACGATTTGCATGTGCCGAATGAGATTTATCAGCGTGAGATTGGCAAGCTAAAGCAGTTGGCACAGCAAGCTGCCGATGGCAAGGACTCGGTAATAGTCAATTAAATAAATATCGGAGAAACAGTGATTAATGATCTAATTCTTCCAGAACCAGTCCAAGAACAAGAAGGAGCAGGAGCGCTATATTGCGCTCATGGAGAAGCTAAATGACGAGCGTAAGAAACAACATGAGCATGTGGACAAAATTCTGCAACGTTTACAGGAGCAAAAGGATGGCTGGTTTCTGTTGCGCTCCGCAAAATCAGCGAAAAATGATACCATTACACAGTTCCTGCAGCTATGCCTCTTTCCGCGCTGCACCTTCACTGCCCTGGACGCACTCTACTGTGCCAAGTTCGTTCAGACCATACATAATCTGAAGACGGCGAATTTCTCCACGTTGCTCTGTTATGATCGGGTATGAATAGACTCCCAGCAAATAGTTAATTTAGTTATTAATGTTGTAATTCCTGTTTAGCTTTTCTGCGATATTACGTACTCGGTTACATCTTGCACGGAGGGCGAGGCGACACGTTATGGTCGATTTTTGTGTGCCATGCTGGAGACGGTAATGCGCTGGCACGCGGATCAGGCTGTTTTCAATAAGGAGTGTGCCAATTATCCTGGCTTTGTGACCAAATTCCGCGTCAGCAATCAGTTCTCGGAGGCCAACGATCATGTTGGCTATGAAAACTATCGTCATGTATGCCACAAGTGGCACTATAAGATCACAAAAGCGATTGTGTTCTGTCTGGATTCAAAGGACTTCATGCAAATACGCAATGCGCTTATCATACTGATGCGAATTCTGCCCCATTATCCGGTTCTATCCAAGCTAGCGCAGATCATCGAACGCAAGGTGGACAAAGTGCGCGAGGAGGAGAAAACCAAGCGACCGGATTTGTTTGCCATCGCTTCCAGCTATATTGGCCAGTTGAAACTAAAGTCTCCTCATATGTTCAAAGAGAGCGACTTCCATCAGGTCGCGGAGCGGCCGGTAAAGGAAGCAGCGCCAACTCCCACCGGTAGCTCCGCCAAGGTGCAGCCCGGCGACAAAGCGAATGCCTCTGCTTCCACGGCGACGGCCACACCAACAACAAAAACCGTCAGTAGTTCGTCCTTCTATGATCCAAAGGCATCAGGAAAAGAGCCGGACGCAAAGACTGGTAAGTAGCATTAACTTAAGGTTGAAACTATTGTCAATCAATATATATTCCCATTCCTATTTAGTTCAAGCAGCGCGTGGAGACGGCAAGCCCAGCAAACCAGAGGGCACGGCATCTACGGTGGTTTCCATCTCCAAAACCGTCTCTGCGCCATCGAACAGCGAACGTGAGAGCAAGAGGGATGCGTCAACATCAGCGGTCAGGGAAACCCAATCTCATCGGAGCATGGATGCCAAGGAAGAGCAGCAGCAGTCCAATAGCAGTACTAACCACAATACCAACAACAATAGTAGCAGTAACAATAGCAACGGTAATGGCGGTCAAAACGAGCGACGCAGTCGGGAGAGGGATCGGGAACGTGAAGAGCGCCACAGCTTAAGCAGCACGCGCAGTTCACAGCGCGAGATCAATCGTAACAGCAATAAGGAGCGTACCGAGGCCGAGCTGCAGCAGCGAGCACGCGAGCGCACACAGCGCCTTGAGGAGTTGGAACTTGCCACTATGCGTGCACAGAAACGGGAGAAGCTATCACGACGCGATGAGCGAAGCCAGCATCGGCATGAGGGAGTTGAAACAGTTGATCTGGTGACAGGCGGCGGCAACAGCGGCCAGGATCATCGCCACTACGAGGACTATGAAGGACGTCAAAGAGACCGTGATTTGAGTTCGGTGTCCAACGAGAGCAACGGTTCGCTGCAGCATCGACGTAGCCACGAGACAATTGAATATGATAAAGGTAAATGAAATCACAATATAATGCATTATTTCCACATTATAGAGGTTATGCAGAGATATACTAAATATATAATTCCTGTTTTGCCTGCAGATTCAAAGCGTCGTAAATTGGAATCATCTACAAATAGTTCAAAGGTTAGTAGCTTATGGTTGCATACATAGTACGCTAAGACAACGACCGACCGAACCGCAACCAACGGAGGGCATAACTATAAATAAATACAAAAAAAAAAAAAAAACAAATTTAAACTGAGAGCATGAGAGAAGCGCCTTAGAACACACACATTTATCACCACCTGGTACGACTGGTACCATCTGAGACGACTTCAGACCAATTTGTGCAACCCACCTCAAGCAATATCTTCTCTGGACACATTTGGATCTCGTCCTTGATAAACAAGTGTATTATCTAAGTATACAATAGTTGTTTAAAAATGGGGACAAAAAATGTGTAGTATTAAGGTATATGTTGATATTAAGTTAAGCGCACAGTTCAACTGTTTAGAGAGAGTATATTTTTATATGTTATGTGAATGAGATTTTAGTAGCACTTGTATTTTAATTTGTAGGTAGCTTTTTGAAAAATAATCTCTAGACTCGGTTTTAAGCCTTATATATATGGAAATGTTATGTAGTTTTAGGGTAAGTTAAGCTAGTTTTTAATAAGAAATGGACCACAAGAAGAACAACGACGGACTCCTCAAGCCGATGAAGAAAAACAAACTCAGGAAGCCAAGCAGAGTCGGTGTATGCAGCATACACGCACAACGAAAAAAAAAAAATAAATAAAAAAAAAAAGATAAAACAACGTGGGAAGATTACGCAAATATACTATAAACAACAAACGTTAAATCATCATTGGAGCAACAACGCCAATACTTTCATATGCCACCAACTCGCAGATCAAGCCAACTTCAGCCGCTTAAATGCTGTGCAATCTGGAAGCAAAACAACCGGAGCCATTCGCAACTAAAACCACTGGTTATCGCTGATCTGGAAGACAATGAAGTAACAGGAGAGCTGACTGAGCTATATTAATCCTAGAGACCAGAACAATCAGCAGATAAAAGCTTGGTTAGACGAGAGCTACACAACAATCACACGCTGTGGCAAAAAAAAAAAAACAACAAAATATTCCAAAAAACCCAAGCACTCCAGAGAAAAATCATTTAACCTAAGACTCAAAATACACAACACTGAGTCCTGTTTTTGGTTTCTACAATAAATCCACTTTGGACAAGATGTATCAGCTATATATTTAACAAACGGTATTCCGAATTCGTCAGACTGGAGTCTACAGTTAAATACCCTTCCGAATTCGACTAAAAAAACACAAAGATGGACGATAGACAAATCCTGGACTAAACACAATGCCTTCTCATAACTTCGTAAGCAGTCCTTGTTACCTACCTGTGATGTAACTCTTTTGAAAACGTGGACCCGCGGATAATTCTACAAAGAGAGATTTACCTAAATCTGTTGAGTGACCAAAGAACTGTACAATGAAAACATTCCACTATAAAGGACGCATTGGATAATAAGTAAATCTACAACAAAGGAATCACAAATGTCTTCCCGTGAAATTGGACCAATTCATCAGCAGAGACGTTTTTAAAATCATAAAAAAAAAACCTAAAAAAAAAAAAAAAAAACAAAAACAAATTCTACCAATAATACAAACTACCAAAATAATGGAACACTTTTTCCACTGGACGTTTGAGCGCCCAGCGTTGTCACCATTGATCCGACTCTCCAATTCAGCACAAAGCCGATTGCAGTTTAGTTGTTTATTCGTTGCTCTTGATTGTGTGCAAACGGGTAAGTGATCAGCGTGCTGTGGGGGCGGACACTCAGCTTAGGGGCGGGCCAGGAGTAGCGTGGCAACGGGCGGGTACATTGAATGTGCTGTTGGGCGTGGTCTTAATACATAATTACTTTTTAGTTTTTTTTTTTTTATTTTCATTTATTAGTTCACAGCGATTTTTACAGTCCATATTAATCAAATGCCATTACAGAAGGTAGAAGAGCTCGTAGATAGTGTGAAGAAAGCGCGCGGCCTCAAGACCAAAGAGCGCAATAAGGACAAGCTGTCTGATGAGGAGCGTGACGCACGCAAGGATCGCAAGTTAGGACGGAAGCGAGACCGCAACGAGGAGTCCAGCACCAGCGACCATAAGCGTAGGCGTGAAGGTGAGGTATATTTAGTGAATCATTCTGCTGGAAGTTCAAGAATATATAATTTTTAGCACAAAACGGCGATGAGGACATCCGCGAACGGGAACGCCATAGAGTAAGTCCTCCATACTAGCAAGCAAAGTGCGATGGCTAACGACAACATTTCCTACTGTTATCTGCAGGAAAAATCCCGAGAACGCTCGCATGACAAATTCGATCGAGAGCGCGGAGGCAGTACGCGAGGTGATGATCGTCAATACAGTATCTCGAAGTCGACACGCTCCTCGAGAATGAACTACTGAACGCATGAGGCCGATTTCCCGTATTGTGCAGAGCATTTGGTTTAAGAATAAAAAACCTAATTAACAATAATATAACAACTCCATACAATTTTATTTACGTAAGGCAAAAAACAATTTTGTGAAAGTTTTACAATTTTTTGTAGTACCTAATTAAAAAAAAGTCAATAACAAAATAAATAATGTATAGTTTAACAAATAATTATAGTTGCAATTATTAAATTTGCTGAAGTGTGCACAGATTAAATACATACTACATACATAAATGAACGTAAATAAAATTTTAAATTTGAATATTCTGCCATTCGCAGGCATTTTGTAAGTTTGTCATCGATAATTTGATTGTCATTTAATAAATATCGAAATGACACTTCGATAATTAGTTTTTAGATCTATTTTAGCAACTAATGCATATATGTATTAATACACACATTTAATGATAATGTGTATTTTTTATTGTGTATCTGTATTTATTTTGTTATCGCTTTTTTTTAGCCCAGTTGAAGCAAAGGCAACCCTAAAGTGCGCCCAACGCCGTTATGAGTATTTTTAGTACATTTTGTTGCAAAGGATATATCGCTAGCAAATGTCCTGTGGCCACACGTGAAGGTGAAGCTCGAGAAAATTTTAGTCTTCAGTGCGTGCTCCAACAAATTGGCAATGGCAATGGCCCGGCGGCAAGACTACTTTAATAAATACACAAATTTTCACAAAAATCACATCAAATTGTTTGCTGTTTACATGAAAACGGCAAATCTAATGCAAAACTTTAACGTGCTCAAGCGTTCGCTTTAAGCAGCAGGAGGTGGAGGAGGACGGGCGCTGCCGTCGCCTGCACCCACCCACCAATACCAATTGACAGTATCAGTTAATGGGCGAAGTGTGTGCGTGTGCTAAAGTTTGTTAGTGTTATTTCAATTACATCAATTATTATGCGATTGGCGGCGTGCGAGCAATAAGCCAAACTAGTGTTTTAACCCCTTAACCAAGTGAACAATACAAATATGACTACACAAATTTATGAAAATTAAACAACAAACAAAAATAATGACGGCTTAACGATAGGCGTGTCTGCTTAAAAGTCGCTGTTGCTGCACAATTTAATCAGACGGAGAAAGTACGTAGTCTCAATTATTATTATTCTATGAATATTTCATTATATGAATTGGGATATACATAGCTAAACATCGTCAGCTTACATAATTGAATATGTACTTTAAACTATGCGCAAAACACGCACTGTGTAAACGCTTTTAAATATGATAATAATTGCATAATAAACTGACGATTTTCATATGCCATAATATCATTTCATTAGACTATAGACTATAGTTTGTAAAATGGCATGGTTGCTCACTTAGAATTAACCGAAAAAGGTCCTTTGTCGTCCCTTTGCAGTAAAAAGTAGCTAGTACTCAGCTGCCGCCTATGGCCGGGCTATCCAGAATAAACGTACCAAATTCAGTACACTTTTCGGCTATTGACTACTGTGTACCTGCTTCTCATAAAGCAACATATTATTTAATTGAAACCCCTTTAACTGTTAACTTAAATCTTGTACGTATGTAAACTTTTTGTAGTTTGCTTTTGCATACATATTCTTATTTTGTTAAATCGAAAATGGTGATTTTTTGTTTGTAATTATTTGGTACGCTTGGTACGCTTTTGCTCTTGCTCTGTCTCTTTCCAGCTCTGGGCTTAACTGCTTTATTTTTTTTTTTGAGCTCTCCCACGCAATAAATCGCAAACATCTGTTTTTGCAGGCGGCAGCGTTTAGTGCGCATGTCACGTGTGAAGCGCGCGCCCACGCTAACGGTACCTACGCTAAACAAAAACAAGTTGTCACATCGACAACGGCATCGGCATCGGCAACGCCGACGTTTTCGTTCTTTTATTTCTACGTCACATTCGTTGTCGCTGCCAAGTGAGCTCCCTGCCATAATAACAACAATGGCGACATATAGACGAAGCTGTAAGCGCTGCTCGAAAGTATGCTACGTTTTGTATGTATGCGTGTGTTTGTTGTGTATTTGTGTGTGTGAGTGTGTGTTTGTGTGTGTCGCAGCATTGCAGTCGCTCGGATTGTTGTTGTTGTATTGCTGTTGAGTAAATGATTTTGTTTTGTCATGTGGACAATGCCATGCGACACACACACAGACACCCTGCATACACACACACTCTCATCCACACTCTTTGTAACTGCAAGTCTTAGATTTTCAAACATTGCTTTCGTATTTTGTTCCCTTTGATCAGTCAGGCTTGGCATGTGTCTATCGATATCAGTTTTAATTATCGTATTGCATGTAAAGACAATGCCACTAGCATTGTGTAATCTTTACTCAACACTGGTACTTTGAATGTATTTATGTACACATCCTCTTTATATGTGTTTGCTTTGTTCGTGGTATATGCCAGAGGTATTTAAAGCAAACAACGTGTAGCTGAAATGTCTGCAAATACTTCTATGAGATAGGCAGGGAAAACACAGCATTTCCGACGAATCCTTTTAGAGAGCAATAAATGTAAAATTTATTCAGTAAAATATCTGTAATAGTACTTAAACGCCGAGTTTCTAGTAGTTCGGTCATCCTCTTTGGCAATGGCCAAAGCAATAACTATTGTGTCTTTGTCACGCCCGAACCAGTATTTGCCTTTCTTTGCCACTGATTTACTCGATGAGTACTGTGTGTTATTCGTCCTTCGGCCATTGCAAAAGTGTAATAAATTTCTTTTGCTCTTCTTCTTCTTCTTCATCATTATCTTATTTGAGGTCCGTATTTTTTTGTCATTTTTTTTACTGGTGTCGGCCTCTGCTTCGAGCTACTGTTATTTTTTGTCTGTTTTGGACCTTGGTCTTGTTGCGAATGTCCTTGAGGCAACGCCAGCCGCTTACATAACGCGTCGCCTTGTTGCTACTTAGTGTGCGGTGGGGCAGGATTAATACGTTTTTTATTCGTCATATTTATAACGATATCTAGGAAAAAGTAATAGCTTTGAGCTCGCACACTTAGAGCTTAAGTCTATTGAATTTCAAGCTTCATTGTGACCGTCCATGTCTTCATCTTCATTTTAATTTTTCTTGTTGACCCAACAGGGTTTCCTTCCACAAAAAGTTTTATGCCTTATAGTGGCATAAAAGCTTTGCTCCTGCGGCTGCCTTTATTGGCCGTCTTTTGTGATTTGAAAATGTATTTAAGAAAACTAAACTTGCGTTAGGTTGCTCCCAAATGCTTGACAAGAAGTCCGAAATCGAGAAAGTTTTACTGAAGTGCTGAAATGATTATTTTTTGTAAAATTATGATGATTTCCTTTAATGATTTTCATTATACTAAACTTTGGTAAGAATTCATATTTATAATTGATCAAATTCAGATTTTTATAGTAATTACTTTTTTATATTTAAAATAAAATCACAGAGATACTTAAAAATTTTCTTTTACTGAATAAAATTTCAATCAATTAATTGGGTTCTATAATTCTGGGTAGCTGTTTATTTAGTTCGAAGTGCTCTTCAAATTTCTTATCAATCAAATTTCACGATTTATCTCTGAGTCAAGTACTACAATTAGACAATTAAGAGCACTTATTTTAAGTGGATTTTAATATCATTTGATTGCCTCTTCAAATCGCTGAATAAACACGTAAACAAGTTCATTTCTCACCGATAGATAGCTTAAGGCAGAGCGAGAAATTCGTTACGGCATGCAATTCATGCAGGACGTCTAGGACGTCTAGGGGTGCAGAGGCGTATGTCCTTTGGTTTCAATTATGTGTGCACTTAGTGCATGCTGTTCAAGTACAAGGATAATGTGCACACACACACATACTCTCACGCACGCACACAAAACAATTTTTGAACATATTGCACATATCTTGCATATCTGTTGTGCAGTTTGAAGGCATCATCTGCAAATCCATCGTTATCCTTCAGCCTGCCTGACAACAGGCCAAGCATACCTCTGCCTTTTCTTCTTTGCCATTTTTGTAGCTCGTGTCAGTCGATCGATATGGAAATGCCACGAACCTGATATTGAAATATAAATATATATACATATGTACACACATATATATGCACACAAACAGTCGTGCATATGTATGTGCATATTTTCAATGGCAGCCAAATGGAATCGCATACATTGACAGGCACTGTGTACATTGTAATTACAAGCGAATTAAGTTGGGTTTATTCTCCTTGCGCGCCCAGCGAACCCTTGGCAAAAATCAATTTCAAACTGCAGGCTCTGGTAATTCCTTTTGCGGTCGCTTGTGCACTCAATTTCTAATTCCAATTAACAATGAAAATTGTCGGCAAACGAAAAATACCAAATTAAATAGAAGAAACAAGAGATATTGGTTTAGTTAGGAGTCGCCGACTAGAGGATATTGAGCTCTAGCATGATAATGTTGCGATTCATTTATTGATGACAAACCACATATTGGCAAGTTGCTAAAATTACAATTGTAAAATCAAATGATCGATAATGATATCAGATTATTAGTTATTATCAATAGGCTTTGTTGTCTCCTTTTGCTACTTTGTTATATCTCACAAAATCTATATAGCCTCAATTCATATTTTAATGGGTAATTTTTTCCGCAGTTTTATATATATAATAAAATAGAATTTATTTCTTATTAAAAATTATACTAATTACCATTATTTTCAATTAAGTATTTAAACACTACTTTTTCAAAATTTGTATTCCATATAAATTCATAACAATTTTTGTCGTTTTATTACTCGTTGTTGCCTCACTGTGCTAAAGCCGGCATTTTTCTCTCAGTTCTCTCTTCAGTTCTCGTGCTCTCTCGCTTACGGCTCTGCCCACCCTCTCTCTCTCACACTCTCTCTGTTACGTTCACTGTGGTGTTTTGAATTTTCCTGCTGCTGTTTGTTGCTCCGTTTCAGTTCTTGACTTCAGAGCGCGGACTGCAGTTTGTTTTCTTCAATTCGAACGCAAAGAAATTACAAAATAAATATTATAGCAATATTATCAACAACAAAAATATATAAATATATCAATATATACATACATTATGTATGCATGTACTTAAAATAAAATTGTGTTTGTGCTTCATGGTTATCAGTGGTTGAGTCACACAGCACGTGTAGGCTTCCAGAACTCGAATTGCGCCATTTTCGCGTCGGGCAACTACATATGACTACATTGACTTTTATGATAATGTTCGAGTTTAGTTTGGTTTATATTTTCGAAAAATATGCTCTGTGCTGTGTACTAAATGAATGTTATTTATAAACCCAACAAATCCAAACAAAAATCTCGAGAGCCTACGCAAGGGGCAGCTGTCTGCTGCTAATGGAAAATGCTTCGAAAAACAAAGTCAAAATGTGCGTTGTTCAAGAATCAATTTTTATTTTCACTTTTTAATTTGTTAGTGACATTTTGTGAAATATATTTACTCACATATTTCTTTGTGTATATTTATAGATATTTTTCATAATTTTCTTTTCGAACTGTAATGAATTCGTTCACCTAAATATTTGTATTTTCTGTTTTTTTTTTCTGCTTTCCGCACTTCCCTGTTGTTGTTTGTTCTCTCTCTCTCTCTCCACGCTCTATCGCTCTCTCAGTCCCTCTCTCAATTCGCTACACTGTCCCACATTTTATTTTTGCTGGAAACTGTGTTTCGCATTCCAAAATCTTTTTATTCCGGTCATTTGCATTGGTTTCTTTGCGGCATTGCTGTTCTCCCACTGATAACAGAAACC